ATATAATCGTGTTTCGCAATTTAATTATATCTTACGGCTAACACATTTTTACTCCAAAATCCGGATAGGTAGTTTGTTCTTATTCATAAGCCTAAAACGCTTTAAAGTTTAAAGAAATACAGAAAAAATATCTGAACGAACTACCATTGTGTAAATATAAATATTTATTGTGCATCAATACTCTATAGTCAAAACTCTAGAAATTTTATGGTGCTACATTTCTAAGTTTATAAACCTAGTCGCACTCGATTACTACAATTTGATAAAGTACAATAGTCAATGATAATTTATATAATGGCTTAATTAAAATAAGCGATTAATAATACTTAATAAATAATAATCCTAATGATATATATGATATTAATTCTTATCTATCAGCTGTATATACAATATAGTCATATGTACCTTTCTACCTATGTCCTATAATTGTACAATTATTATGACATCTATCTATTTGAAAAAACGTAGTTTTCAATATAAAACTCAAGTATTTRCATTGTTATAGATTTATAGAACAACAMAAAAGTTACGAAGAATGAAAAAATAAATAGAACTAAAAAATAATTTAACCAAGCTATTATTAGAAAACTATATTATATATGAACTCAAATTGATGATTACATCTTATAGTTTTATAAGTACTATTTTATTTGTRATTTAATATATATTTGAAACAGAATACCTACTGAAGATAAGTAAAAGATAACTCATTTGATATGTTAAACGAAGCTTTTAAAATWAAAAACACAATTATTTAGGTATTATATACCTACCTATATACATGTTAGKACTAAAACGCTTGTAACACACGTAAAATTTCATTATAAAAAAATTTCGAGTGAATATATTCTACATTTTTATCAATATCAAAATCGAATAAACACTAGGACATATTATGCTACTGTAATACACACAGATAAACGTTAGATTTCTATTAAGAATTAGTCAGCATTTGTCTTGAGGACTTGCTGATTTTTTTTTACAGTGGGTTGGTTAAACACAATACACATAAGTATATAGTGGGGGTTTTTGAAAAATAAATTTAAATATTGACATTATTGAAGATATATTAAACATGAATCGACTCACATTCGACTGATAGACGCAAAGCCTCGGACTGCCAGTTGAACCGTCCATAGAATTGTCCATTTTCGTACACGACGGCGTCAGAGACCACACTTTCTGCCAGCAATTATCCATAGCGTTCGGGTCGGCCAAACATGTAGACCAGAACGATGAGAACCCGAAGATCACCAACGTGATATGAGTTGATGCCATCTTCTCGTATTATTAAGTTCGCAAATAGGTGTATGTTARAGGGGAGGCGATGCAAGTAGGTTATTTTCTTTTGAAAAAGTATAAACTTGTAAAATTATTACAGACGTGAGGAGCGGATAGTATAATACAAAACGGTTAAGTAATACGATGGTGAATAACAACAACGTTTATAAGTATTGAAAGGTATAATGGTTATACGTAAATGAATATATAAAAAAAATTATATTTTACAAAAAAAAATAATTGAATTCTAGCAAATACGCCAGGTACAATACGTACACTCAATGCGGCGGTAACTAATTAATATTATTATTAAGATTATGTTATTGTTTCGAATCGGACCGTTTTTTGCGCCGTCTGTTTCCCTGGTGACTGGCCATAACCAACTGAGTGCATGCGTTATTGCGTGTGTGTGCGTGTGTGTGTGTGTGTGTGTGTGTGTGTGTGATGTGGACTGTAAGTAGTAGCGACGATGGCAGTGGTGTACGGGAAGGAGGAGGCAACAAGCCACCGATGTTCCAAAGTCCTGATAACAATATTATGTTGAATCGAACACACATATATTTAAGTATATATTATACCGCGACAATATATTAACGCGTGGCATAAATTATAGTACATTTTTATCGTTATAATTCAAGTACCTATAGTGCGACGCACATTTAAAAATACGCTACACTAGATACCTGCATGTGTTGTCTTTATGATTCCGTTTTACGTACAACATATTAAATGCACATGCCACTGGACCAATTTTGTGCTGTTAGCTTTAGAATTTTAGTGAATTAATTTATGATATCAATTAAACTTAAAGCTAAATACATTTGTTTATGATATTTTACTTTTTAAGCGAATTATGATCATTCTAAAATTATGATATTGTACAGAATATTCATAACTCACATAAATAGGAAAATCGAAAATTCAACATGGGTAATAATATTTTATTGTTCTTACCTTAAACATTGATAATATTATGTCAAATCAATTTAATATTAAAGTTGATGGCATGCATTTGGTTCTGTTGTAGAACAATATTTGCTAGGTATATGTTATACATTTTTTGTTTCTTTGTAAGACGGAGACAACACATTTAAATATATTGGAAGCACTGATTATATTCCGTCTCAGTCTATCACACACGTGCAATAAAATATATAAGATGGAAGATTTTGCAGCGATGTGCGTTATATTTCTGCCGTACTAAGTGATGAGATCTAGTGATAARTTTAAGATTTTGAAAACAGATATGAATTCACCTCATGTGAAGTCTACTCGAGAATGGTTATTTTTTATGTTCTCAATTTTGTTTWAAAAAAAGTCATAACAAAATATTTCGAAAAATACAAATTGTCTGACTTGGTTTTAACACATGAGTGTTAACTGAGGGCAAAAAAATGAATATAGGTATTTTGCCACTGTGGCGAACAATGTTAGATGGAATCCACGAGGATGAAATCAATTTTCAAAATGAAATCAATACAAAATACGTTTCTGTGTCAATGTGTGAGACAGAGACATCACTGAGAATAATACTGTATAAATATGCATATAATAGCAGTCACAACATAATATTATAAATGGAAAAGGAAACCATTTCGTCGATTACTATTTTGCAAAATAATAATGAATTTAATATATTGTACCTATATTATATACGAGTATACGACCTACTGACTTCCTACGATAATATTTTATTATACGACACGTAATAGGTATCGATAATAATATTATTTTATTTCATTWTATAATATTTTTGTGGTTAATTAATTTTTTTAGTATCAAAGCCCGTCTTCGTCAAAATATCTACGAGCTTAAGTCGAAATAAATTATAGCATTAAAATAAAATACAATGTTTTAAGTCAAAATCCAACCAAGCACACCGTTACCGCGTCGCCGCCCGTAGTGATTGTTGGTCAACTCTAAGCGTATATACAATATACATGCATATAAATATAGTATTATGATACCATACAAGCAGGACTATAATATAGTGTTTTAGCTTTTTTTTTTTTTTTTGAAATATCCGGTTTTTTTTCAACTCCTGTGAATATAGTTTACATATAATATTGTATATAGGTAATATTAAATGTTATATGTCTGCAAAGACTAGAGTATAAAATCTGATAATATGCATTCCGGAGGCCCGGCGCCGCACGTCATATTATAATATTATGTATATAATAAGTTTCCATTTATTCAGTTGCGAGCTGTATACATTATACAACTATAATAATATGCTATAACGAGCCGCTACAATAACGATGATCCGACGTGTTTTAATCATCGATAAGAATATTATTATTATTATATACGTACTTCGCCCCATTGTCGGATGACGATCGTGTAATATTCATGTCGATTGCCCAATGCCTAAATATGTGCATTTAATTGATAAATTATTCAATTATCCATAATAATATAATCGCTATGAAAACATAAAAAAAAAAATTAATACAATTATTATCGCTTGCATTGTACGTACGAATATACGATATGATAGCAACACAATAATATACCTATTTTATATTGTATAATGTCTCCCTAAGTATATACAGACAATTTAATTACTAACCAAATTCTCTCACAAAATTCGTTTATTAATCTTACATGTAATAATAAAACAGACACTCTCACATACCTAGTAGCGTAATTACGGTAAAATTTGGGTATCGTATCATCCCATGACTTTTTTTTTATAACTAGCAAATCATATTTAACTGTAAATATTATTATTTATAGGTAAATTTTTACAAATATTTGTAACTATATTGTAATTAATTACGTTTACCAATTCTAAATTAAAATTTTTTTATTATCTAATCAATAAGTTTGATGACCTTATAATATGTCAGGAGCACATTACAATAAAGAAAAAAAAAATTAAACTACATTTTTACATGACTTATAATATACTTACTGATCCTGCACGACATTACCCGTACATTTACCCCTATTTAAACTCCTGTAAATGCACGCTGAACAGATTATTGTTACCTAACACTGCAGTTATTTGAATTGATTTGACTAAAACCTACAAGTATAATGTACTGGTCTATAATTATATKCAATCATAAACACTATTTTTTGTAACCTCCAATGATAGAAATAAATAAAATAAAATGTACTTATATAGTTTTTTTATGAATCAACTATAATAAATATGTTAATTTATGCTTTGAAATACAATTTAAAAGTAAGTAATACAAATTAACCTATGACACTTCAGTTTGTATACAATTTGTTGCTGAATCTATTGACGAACATTTGATGAAAATCAGTCAAAAATTGAGGATTCTATAAGGGATATCCTTATCCGTAAGAGTTTTTGGCTTATGATTTTGTATACCTACTAAATAATAAATAAATAGTAAATGTATTATATTTATTAATTTTAGATAATCYGACAGCGCGGCGTTTTCGGTGGCAAACTATATAAATCATAGTAGATTTACCCTGCCTTAAACTTCGTTAAATGTAATAAATTATGTAAACTACAAATATTTTTACATGATTATTTAGGCGATTTTAATCAATTAGGTCTATATAATATAATATAGGTCTAAAAAYGTTGCAATTATAAGTTATTTTATTTWATATAATCTGCAACCTCTTGTAAAAAAATAAATATTCGTTTTTAATAATCCAACAAATCCCAGTGCCCCACTTTAAAATCCAAAATTCAAAAAATTGATTTCGTGATGTAATGCATGTTCGAATACCTATATAATATYACATAATTCGTAGCAAATTTCAAAACCATAAAAAGTTTAACACAATATCAACTTGGCTGTGGACAAGGCCGGCGAAAGCTATGGGCGACCTGGGCGACTGCCCA